CAGATGCTGCTGGTGCAATAAGCTGTACGCTGTACGTCCAATGGATGATGATCTGATTAGTCGACTAATCGCAAAAATAATCGGTGACTAGTCGACTATCAAAATAATCGTTTGTGACTAGTCGACTATCAAAATAATCGTTTGTGGCAGCCCTATTGATGAGTACTCTGTTTTGACAGCAAACGTTAAATGCAGTTATCAAACGTTCAATTTTACAGCAACCAAACACGACACAAAAGCTTGTTCATCCTCAGAAATAGAGCGTTCTCTTATTTCTCGTCTGGCTTAATATTATAAGAACAACGCCTGCAGGGTGGAAGTTTGTCAAGTAACACCAGGAACTGACTGCAATGTAAACCCTTTTAATATAATATTGCAGCTGAAGAGGATACTCAAGCTACACTGCGAAATAATCAAAGTCGGGTTTTTTTCTCATTTAGAAAACAGGACCATCGTGGGAACATTTTAGGAAATCACTTTGAGCTGTGAGTGAAACAAACTAATAATTCCCACGGATGTTGGTGATTAGGAATACCTCTAGACTGCGGCATTATGGAAATATGCTTGGGCTGCATATGGAGGTCATTCACGCTTAACTAAGACAGACATGCTACATTCACTTGAAGCCAGGCTATAATTCAGAATTTAGGACTGAAACACAGGGGAACAACCTAACTACACTTTTAGATAATCTCACAAATCAGCGGTCAACATCAAAGAAATCCTCTTCACTCCCACAACACAATTCCAGAACTCACTAACCCTCAACCCTGGCTAAACACACTATCACCCCAGTATTATGGATCGCACACCAAAACAGGAAAAAAAAAAATCAAATTCAAGCACAAACTCTTCTCTCCCAACTTTGAGCCAGGATCCTTTGTTTTAGTGGTGAGAATGGAAAAAGTTTTCTGGAAGAGGAGGGAAGAAAACACGGAAGCGACCTGACTGCTTGCATTTCTTACCTTGTTGTAGTAATGGAGCTGGACTGAGTGCCACTGACCGTCACTGACTCCACCCGGGACGTAGGGAGCCACTGTGGTCTTTGTCTCACCTGCATGAGAAACAAATTGTTATTAGTTAATTCTGCAACTTGATTTGTGCACATGACTACACGGGCATGCTACTTCTCGATTTGTACACAAGGGCTTAAAATAATCAAATCAAATTGTCAATCAGTGTCAAACTGCTTGCTAAATTTTGCAAAGCGGAGCTGCTTGCAAACATTAGCAGAAAAGGAAGGAGGAAACCCCCCTGAGGATCTTTTATTTATACTAAGGCTGTACTCTCTTTCTTTTAAAGGTTAAAAAGTTTTACCTCGTTGTAACACGATACATGGATCACTTCAATTTTTAAAACGTAAACCACTGGCTATTGATAAGTTACTAATAAACATTCACTGTGTCTTATCTTGACATGCACGCACACCACACAGATCGTAAATCAACACGCATTAGTCTGCAGCATCAGTGATTCTCAGTGTGGAGACTGTAGTGCACAACGGCACCAGATTTGCAGAGGGTTTACCCTGTTTGTCAAGGGCAGGAGCAGCCGAGGCACACATCCCCTGCTCTGGGAAATCGGCAAACAGCGCGGCAACATTAAGGACTTGAGTGTGTGTGTGCGAGTCTTTGTATAGAATGATAAGGAGCAAACACGATTAACTGATGTCCTACTTCGCCAATGAAAAGCACAGAAAGAAAATTACTGCGACTAATCCTGAGAGCTTCCCTCCTACTCCTCTCATTAAACGTGACTCATAATTCAAAACATTTAATTTGATGATTCATGCGTCGAACGTTTAGATATATGTCAGTTTTGAAGCAGGGCACAAGGACTTGGCTTCTCTCCCGAACAGGCTTCACCCAAAATAGTCATACTGAACTGGATTCCTCCCTGTACGCGACCATGGGAAAGTAGACTCAGCTCGGAGAACATGTGTTTGATCTGCATTCAACAGTTACCAGTTGTAACAATGATGCTGGGTGTGTGAGCACACTTGAATGAGTTTAAATGCGCTAATGTTTGTACGAATTGATCTTTCAAAAATGTTTAAAACAAATAAGTTGCCACTGTCGCGCTGCTTATGGACCTTAGCCATCATGGATTTTGTGGTGGTGTTTTTTGGCCAGTTAGGTGTCACCATTAATCAGTCCTTTCAAAATAAAACACTCCTATCCTTTAAAGCATCATGTTTGACTCTACTATATTTGGATAATTTGTGTATGCACTAACGTGCATTTGTCAAAATAAAGTGGAGATAGATAAGAATTATGTACCTACGTCTCTGTAAAAGTCACTTTAGATAACGCGCACTTACGCCATATTAATCTGCTTATAATGCAGCCGAGAACTGATACGCATCAGTCGCACACACAAAAGCAGACGATCACGCATTACGGGGCCTAACCTCCAGAGAAGGTGAGCTGAATCTGTTCAGCGATGATCTCCAGGGCGATGAAGTCATGTTTCTCGTTGAACCTGCCGTTGTAGAGGAGCAGGGCGTTTCTTTCCCTGGTAGCAAACCTGAAAATAAATTTTTTTGTAAAGATGATTAACTTTGATAAAAAGAACTTTCATATATGTGTCATAGAAAGGGCTGCGTGAATTACAGCTGTTTTTCTTTACGGGATGCTCGTGTTTCCCATCACATTTTTTAACGCCTCTCCAACTCAAACAGTGCAGGACTGAAAGGTCGAGAACCTTGCAGAAAGTTTTATGACGAAAAGAACCGAGGCGTTCTTGAGGAAAAGTCACTTGGAAAGGAAAGGAAGGATGTGTAAAGTACAGAGGAAACGGCGCTTCTGAAGTAGACGGTGCATGACTGTGTCTACATGTGAAAACGACACAAAAGACCTGGCAAATGAGCCAGCACCTACTTGTGTGTGTGTTCTACGGGGTTCAAAGTTCAGATGTGTGTGTGTTTGTCTGTGTGTTTGGAGTGTAAGGTGAGGGCAGTGGAGTCAGCCGGCAGATGCTAGTGAGCCCAGGAGGGCAGGAAGTCAGGATGGCTGAAGCCAAACACTGATAAGGGAATCTAGGAAACAAATCACACAGCCTTTCCTGTTTTCACCTCACTGGCAACCTTTCTCACCGTCACTCTGTCCACAGATTTACAAAATCATCTCACCTATTACTGGTAAAAATGAGTTAAAGTACTTCTTTTTGTAATATTTACAGTACACCTGTTTTTCCTCTGGCGGTTTCACTTTGTTTTAAAAAGTGTGAAAGGCACAAATCATAAATCTTCATGTTCAGATGTACTGTGTGAATTATACCTTGGTTGTTCCTGAATGTGCATCTCTATGTACGTATTCAAGGAGGTGAGACACAATGGAAAAGTGCATGCATGTTTCAGCACGTCTCAGCTGGCACACTTTAGTTTTCTGACTTCCACTGTGTTTAAATTGCTGCTTATGACACGCACAAATGCTCACAGGTGGCTGAATTTTAAATAGTGACACTAAATTCTGAAACCATTCGGAAAAATGTCTTTTTCCATAGTTATTCTCAGCTGCAGTCATTAGCATGTCCAAGTAACTAGCTATTATCAGGGATTTAGCTGAAGTCATATTAGTTTATCATGTATATAATCATTGTGTATCTATTGGCTTTACAGCTGCTCTGATCAGAGTTAGCTGGAAGCAACAAAAAGTAAGGCAAGCGTAAAACTGT